TCTTAAACTCATTCGCAATCCGGCAGTTTGACAGTCTCATACATAGTGCGTACGCTTTATGTACCCACACGTATTTTTTCTCTCGTTGCAAGGAGACTCGTCATACTGAAGTTTCTGTGGCAGTTTTGTTTACAGGGTAGGGTTAGTAGCCACAAGCTGCACATTAATGGCTTCCATGACAAATGCTTTCCACTAGGTCACCAGATACATCGATATCTGAGGATATTCTCAGCAGTATTGTCTTTATATTCACATACATTTGTATAAGTAGGTTATTACAAACGACTAGGAAATTGTTTTCACGCAAAAATTATAAAATGTGGAAGTTAGTACTAAAGCAACTAAGATATGGTCTGCTTAGCAGAGTAGAATGAATGCTGGAACAATTAGTGATAAAGATATGTAGAATGATCCTGAGGAATACAGCTGGTTAACAGAACTTGTCATGCTGAATTTTCATGACAGATTTTCATATGGTATGCGTTAGACATTGCAAAGTAACCCATCAACTTGTGTTATTGGATAAAAAATACTACGAAATGATATAAGATTATGCATTTCATGAAAGTATATGAGGTAAGGTAATTCTTGACTGAATCGTGATAATGATAATTTATATTTTGTATAAATGGGTGTTTGCAAGAAATGCATGCAATAGCTTTATCGATCTCTGGTGTGGCGAAAAGTATGTCACATAAACATTCGTCTGTTATACTCGAGAACTCCGCGACCTGATCGTTCTCCAAGGTGCATAGCCGAGCAAAGTGTTTGTTAAACAGTTCACATATCGGTATTCTCTTAAGCAATGCCGTCTAAGTATATTATTTTCGGATACGCTGTTTTGGAGTTCGTCAACCCACTTTTGGCTATTTCTCCTGGGTTATGCGGTGCCTGAATGGCCCACATTGCTTTCCTTCTGAGGCCTATATTTCCCAACCCTTCAATTCTGTTGAGAAGGGACGTAATAGCAATTAATAATGATAAGCCATGATATCTGTAGCCTTTTTGCTAAGTGCTTTCGTAGACTTCTCCTCAACAATATCGGAATATAATCTCTTTGGGGCAATCTGAAGCTATGACTCTTCTCATGTGCAATGACGTTATGAATTGAGTTATTATTCTGATAAAAGTTGTTAAGAATTGCCTCCAAGGATTCGTTCGAAAAGTAAGAGTTCAAATTAGAGTATCTAATTAGGTGCTGATACAGGTCCCAGTCAGCATGTGTGTACAACCTCATAATTGTCTGGTCAGCTTCATCTCTGCGTTTTGTTTCGGGAAATATGTCAAAAGAACACACTACTATTTTATGGTCACTACCTGGAAATGAATGTCCCACATGTACTGTAAATGGTTTTATGTTGTTCGTGAAAATAAGGTCTAGGATATTTGCGGATCTGGTGGGTGAATCTATGTGTTGTGCCCACGTTCCTGTGACGATGGAATTCTAGAGATTATCATACCTTTGGGGTCCTCGGAGTGAAGACCATGATACTTCTGGCATGTTGAAATCACCTCCGATAATTTTATAGCTGAAGGGAAGATTGGCTGTAACATTAAAAGTGCTGCTGAACATATTGTCATATTCCCTGCTGGATGAAGGGGGTCGGTACACACAGCCCACAAGTATAGGTTCACTTCTGACAACTTTCATTTCGACCCAGATCGAGTCATTGAGTTGGGACAGAATTGGGTTACTGAAATGGGTTGCACACATGGATTGTTCACAGTAAATTAGTGTCCCACCTCCACAACCTGTCTGTCCCCTCGAAGGAGGTTCTAGTTATCCATCCTTAGGCTATCATTAGAGATTTCACTTGTGTACCAGGCTTCGGTGACCATAATCAATGACGGTCTGCATAAAGAAGCTAATGCACTTGGTGTTAAGTGTTTGTTTAGAACTAATCTAGTATTTACTAGGATAATAGATAAACACTGGCTACGTGGTTTCAGTGATCGGACAACACGTTGATAAAATAATCCGCGAGGATCCTCTATATACATGTATTTAGACTCATTTGCTAATATCTTTGGATCATAAGAAGACGTCAGGTAGGTTTGTGAGATGGTAGTCAGGGATGATCTTTCGTTTGGATATGGTATGCGGTGATAGACACCTGTGTAATAATCAGATATTGATATTTTAGAGACATTAGTATCCACATTTGGTGTGTCAGCTTCTCCCGGGAAATATGCCTTGCCCTAGCTGTAGACTGTTCACTATGCCAGCAAGGAATTGATCCGATATCATGTGTCCTATGTGCATGATGCTAGGTGTTTCTGTTAACTGTCACTGGTGAAAATACTGCTCGAAGTTATAACCGATATAAGCATTCGGTAATTTGTTGCCAGTATACGGATGAAGTGTTGGTATCTGTTTCGGGAAGTCATCAGACCATAGCAATTTTTGGGCATACATCGGCACATGCTGCCTACTAAATACATAAGATGTATGAACGGGTTCTATGGGCTTATTTGGCCCACTGAATGTGGTCTTTAACCGACGTTTAGGAGATTTTCTACACGTTTCAGTTGAAAGAGTACTCAAAGGTAGCTGGCTAACATCGGGTTTACCTGATGGATGAGCAGAATAATACCTACTACCTCGCTATGCTGTTTGTCTAGAATTAGTGGTTGGATAAAATTGGCTTTTCACTTCACACCAATTAGGCCTACCTCTAGGAGCTTCGTCTACCGTATTTGACTTTCTCTTAGAAAGATGGCTTAGAGATGCTTTCGTCTGTATCAAATCAATGTGCTTTCTTGCTCCGGGTTCAGTATTTAATTCACTTAATTCTTTTTCCCCTTTCTTATGATCAGCTGGTTGATGATGGCTAACAGAGCGGCCAGCATATGTTATGTAGGGTTTCTGTTGCTTGGACACCTCACGCGCTTTAGCTTTCTTAATGGAAATGGGAAGTTTATGATAACGCCTGGAGAACTTGCTAACTTGGGTAGCTACATCCACAGTGGATAGATTGTCAGACTGAGGAATAAATGACTTATAAGAGGATGGGCGGGACACCAGTGAGATGCATTTCGATGTTTTCGGTCTCTTGACATTTGTGGTAGTGTGAAAACGATGTATTTCAACATTATGTTCTGTTGACTCATCTATGTCCACCATTTCAGTGTCAGCATCAGTATCGTTATATAATACTTGGCTAATATTAGTCTGTGCCTGCGAAAATGTCTGATGCATGCGGTCATCAGGTATTTCAGTAGATGGGATAACGCATGGAACATCATCTACAGTTCTCCTATTAGTGTTATCAGCACTCAGGTTTCCTGAGCGGCATCGTCTTTGGCAAGGTGTTAAATCAGGTGCAACACTAATGTTAGTGTAGGGTGTTGAAGAGCCCATTATCTTACCAGATTTCAGAAAATTCCTGGATTCTTCAATAGACCTGAACGTGAAAAGCACCGAACATGAGTGGTTTGCAGATTTCTGACTAAGACGCGAAACCTGACAGTCTGCGAACGACATATTACAAACCTTTATACATGAATTTTTAAAATTGACAATAGGCTCTTTGTCTGGAATTTTATAGGCCAAGACCTTATGTGAAGACATAATCCTCTTAACAGCTTCTTCAGCCAAAAAGTCAATTATGCACTTGGATTTGATAAGTGATTCAAGACATGATTTGTGATGGGTCACACAGCTAAGTGATGGGCATAATTCTGTCAAACTTGCTCTGTAGGTTTGCTATTGACTTCTGAAGTGTCAGTAAATCATTTTTCCTACAAGCCGCGTTCTCTTTCAGTTCCTCTGTGATATCAGATACCATAACTCTGGATGTGTCTGATGTCAAAAGTGTATAATCGTTAACGGAGCTGAGGCCATCAGATGGTTGACGAGTATTAGATCTCAGTCTCTCAACGGTACTTGCACGTTTGATAGACTTAACCATTACAGAGACAAGAATTTTCACAATTTCCGGAAAAGAGTCTTGAGGATATCAAAAAGATAGCTGTGTTATCGAAGTATCTAAACAACAACGAGAAACAGCTGTATATTTCAAAATAAAATGTTAGACTCTCCTTTAACAGCGTTTGTTGTGGATAAAATCCTGAGTTCCACATGGTTAGAGGGGGTATCAGAATATTCCAGGTTGTAGATTTCACGAGTGAATACTATATGTATTTCCAGGTGACACAATATTATCGTTGTTATGTATGGATATGCGGATAATGTGAGGAAAGCGGCTAATTTCCAAAATAATAGGGAAAGATGATTCACGCAGAAAGTGAACACCTGTATCGCACCAGTTCTAACCAATCGATGGTAGATGTATATCATTATTCAAACGTTATTTTTCCTCGACAGGGTTCTCAGAATCCTTGTTTTCTTTACCAGTTGTGACGGGAACTGGACAAAAAGCAAACGAAGCACGAGATTCAATGGACAAGCATAAACAAAGCGGTGTACAGACACCCTATAAGCATAGGTAGACGACCACTAGGCAATACATCAAGTCGAACAGAAGAGTTTTACCGATGGTAACACCAGTGTTGTTGCTTCCGGCTGCTTTGTTCTTGGGGTGCTCACAACGCCACTAGTGGTTGGAAAGCTGTAGCGGTCGATAATTCCCCAGAATTATTGGCAACAGCATTCATCACAGTTTTAGTGAAAATGTTTATCTGAAGGCCTCCGGTCAAGCATCCACGGCATTCGGTATGTCGTCGTGTTACAATCGTTCATTCCTTCATGATCCCTAGCTAGCTAAGCAATCATCTTGCAGTCCGAATCGGCCCCAAAATATAACTCGTAATTTGGACGATGAATTCAGGTGTTATGATTCAACTTCAGTCTACGCGGAACGAATACTATAAAAGTTGTGGGTATTAGATCTTGCGTTGCTATACTACGTTTTATCCATGAACGTCAACTCCCTTAGACTAAAGATATTCTTTGCTTATTACAGTGAAACTCATGTTGTCGGAAACGTCATTTTTAGGAAGAATTGGAACAAGCCATCAAGGAGAGTGAAACGAAATTAATGATATTGGACTTTTTCGCTGATTGGTGTGGTCCGTGTAAAAGAGTTGCACCAGAACTAGATAAAATATGTGAAGAATGGCAAGATGTTCTGTTCGTAAAATTGAACGTTGACGAGTTAGAGGTTAGTTGTATTAATATTAACAGAAAGAACTATTATTGATGACGTTTTCAAGGTTATAAGTAGCCATTGTGTTCAACATTTTAAAGGATACGCTTATCAAACAAAATTTGAATACTACAGAAGATATTCAGGCGACTAGAGTAAATCTCCTTTCCATGTTCAGTGTAACAGAGTGTCAAGGAAAGGTGGACGTTTAGCACTACACCTATATAAGTGTGGCCTTCAAGTTTAAGTTTAATGACTTCAAATAGGCTGGAGACGGATCACAACGCAGGTTCATCAGTGAGACACTGAGGGACCAGATTACGATGAACACCACTGCGGTCGTCGAGAAAGTCGAAGATATGAAGCAACATTACTGGAGAAACATGAAAGGAAGAACACTTGAAGCCTCTGAAGGAGACGTCGAAGGAAGCCTGCATGTACATCCCAGGAAGGAAAAAGAGGTATGAAAATGCAGGCAATGGTCCTCTACAAATACCTGGGAGCTAATAAAGAGGAGAGGGGTGGTGAAGTCAAAGAAGAAGAAGAAACGTTGCAGTGATGAACACCGAAAGAAGGAGGTGAATGCAATCTAGAAAGCGTCGGATGGAACAGCGGAGAAGGGTATAAAGAAGAGTAAAAGATGCGCTTTAGATACACTGGAAAATAAAGGAGAACAGGTGGCACATAAGAGACTTCACAACATTACGCCGAATTACTAGATCGTTACCTGAGAGGAGATCAACTCAGACGAAACTAGTCAAAGATAGTGGAGGGAGGCGAATTGATTATGGAAGGAGCGGGAGAGAGGAAACATTGATCTGATCAGCTGAAAGAACTCCTGAGTCGACTGGCATATTCGATTCATCGAGAAATACCACCGAGAGATGAAGGACTAACAGTGGACACCAACGATCCGACAAAAGCTGAGACGAGGCTACTGAAAATTGGAAAAACTAGGCGAAGTCTTCAGACAGTCTTGATAAGGTACGATTTCAGTTTATGATAAATTGTATAACAGCCTTTGTAAGTGGAAGGTTGGCGTTCGCATAGTTTCAGTTCTGCAGTTCCTATAATGTGGAGAAGAGTACGAAATAACTATGTTTATTCGAATTAAAATAGATGAATAGAGACGGAAATATATTATCTCATCATTACTTTCTGGAATGTAAATGAGTTAGATTGGTTTAAAATTTGTTGATGGACCTAGCTTGCAAATGTTCAGAATAAAACGATATGTTTGCGCATTAGTCTATATGCGTATTTATTATTGCGAAGTATTTTATATAATACAGGGATTGAATCTATATTTGTATCGGATTGGAACCCAAGGCCAGGTTCGTCATAGGAAGTGAGTCGCTGTGTTTGTATATCGTTAAATCAATAGTGAATCGCTTAGAAAGTGTAGACATTCAACAAGTTCAACGAACACATCACCTCGGGTGGGAAAAACGGGAGCAACTTGACTTAGATATGCTAATTTTGCCTTGTTGTCGGTTCAAAAATAACCACACAAGTGAGTTCATGAAATAATCACTGTAACTAAACGTTTATCGGTGTACACAGTCTGTTTTATAATTCTGTAAATTAGGCCTTTTTCTGTTTAGGCAGGCGAATTAGCTTTCCTTGAGTTGAACAGTTTCTCATATTCTTTTCAGAGAAGAGAAATTTTCCTACAGGGTAAAAGTAAGTAATTCAATTGACGTATGATAATTCCACTGGTGCATACAATTCATGTTTAAATAAATATCTTTCACAGTTATAACTGCTTGACTTTTATTCATCAACCAGTGTCATCTTTATTTTCTATATGTTTCTTCTCCCATCTAGTCTGCGGCTGAGACTTATGCGATAGCTGCAATGCCCACATTCATTGCATTCAAGGGTGGAGAGAAAATCGATGAAGTGGTTGGTGCCAATTTGGATAAACTAAGGGAAATGATTGAGAAGTATAAATAGAAGGACAAAAGAGGGGGAAAGAATAAAGAAGAATCGTTGTTCCCAACTTCTTTTTGTGTTACAAGTAGTCATAAATTGCACTTAGTCATGAGACATGTAAAACGTATCCATAAATTCAGTGGCATTTACCTTTTGTTAACTTCTAAATTGATCATTTAATTTCCTAAAAGCTATGCATGAAAGAGGGCTAATGAAGGGCTGCTTTTGATTTGAAATAAATGTAATCATTGTTTATTGTATTTTCCCACTATCGAATTGGTTACTACGCGAGATTTATTGTCACACGTTGCTTGAATTTTAACATCTCATTGGAAAAAATTAAGATTAATTTACCAAGCGTCTTCACTGAATTATCGGCATCGGTTTCTTCGCATATCTGTTAAACTGAGCTTTCAGCCGTCACCTGCTCTTCATATGCTCACCGATTGTTCGACACGGTCGCCTAAGACCCATGTATTACAGTCTTTTTATGGATTTTGTTAGTTCTGAGTGTAGTATGGTAGGTTTGATTGTCCAAAAGGGATTATTGTTACCACTAGTTCAAGTTAATGAGGTTGTGCAATTGAATTGAAAAGCTAAGTAAACTATGGTCATATAGAGCCCATCTTGAAAATACTACTAGCCAAAAGACTACTATACCGTTGTATATTTCTGTGATTGCTTAATCAATCAACTAACCACTAATGAATGTGTTTATCGAAGCGGAGATAGAAGTTGTGTCCAGGCTTGATAAGTGATACTACTCAGAAACGCTTACATTTATTTTCGGTTTTGAAGCTTAGCAATGTTAACAGTGAGTTGAAATAATTTTTGACACAGATCAATTATCTGGAGTTTATACAAATAAATAAATTTATCTAATTAACATGGCAGTAATCGACCTCACCCACCTAACGATTGTTTACTTTCTAAAACGTGGCTAGAAATTACAACTTATTCAAATAATGTATGCATAATATGTTGAAATGCGATTGTGCGAATTCCTATAACTGAGTATCAGACGATTATAGGCCACCATTTACTTTTCTAATGGTGGTCACTTACTTGTTTCGGGTGAATTATGCAGTATATTATCGTTATATACAGGATATTAAACCTGTTTTATCCGATGAACTCATTCTCGTCTTCAAAATGCATCAGTACCTTATGCGTGAGGTCATAAACTAATAAATTAGAATTTTTATCAATTGTGTAGTATACAGCAAATGTTAATACTCAGCTGCACAACGCGTCAACTATCAAATGGACTTGTATAATTGCATTAACCTTACCTATTTATCTTAAGAAATTGAACGCGTATAAGCACAACGAATTTGGAAGTATATGACATTACAGTCCAAAATACAAACTTTTATTTGCGGGAACGAATCATAAAATGATGCTAAATTCTGGATCTAAGATAATTCTGTCACTTGTGAGATTACTCTGACACTAGAGTGATAAAAGTTCTCGGTTGTACATACAGTTAAATAAGCCAAATTGCTACATACCACGCACGTGAAAACATATAAACGAATTGCACATGTAATAAACTGATATCCATCACATATATGCTTCTACTGACGGTAACTCTTCACTTCTTCTTCTTCTTAGCTGTATAATACTTACAGCTGAGAAATATGCCTGACAAAGTTCCTTCAAGAATTTTGGAGGGCTTAATGCAGCAAGCTACGTACCTCTATTTCAGGTCATTATAGGTTTGAAGGGAATTATCATTGATAGCTTTCATTAACCTATTCACAAGGGCATTTTCCTGTGGAAATAGTTGAGACACCAGGATGGATTCGCAGTTACTTATACCTTTGAATGCGAATTGGTTAAGAACACTTTACGATTACAAGAAAGAAGAACAATATGATTAGTAGTAATACATGCTAACTAGAAAAATCTTATTCAAGTAGGACAGTACAATTTTTGATGCTTTTAAGTTCTAACCAATAAAGCCAATAGAAGGTATGCTTAAACTGTAGGGTCATACATCTTATTTCCCATCTGATTGTGTTTGATCAATAACACTCATATTATTACTTTTGAATGTACATTATCCTACACTGATTTTTATTCAAATATCTAATCAATTTCTCTCATGTATATAAATGAAGTGAAAAGTTTTGTGATGGACTTGATATGATAATGAGCGACAATTTGTGCTCGAAACGTCATCAGTTAATATTACTGTGTAACACTGTGTGATTTATCAAAATAAAATCTTATCTATAATGGAGTTATACTCTACCACAGTGCCCAAGTTTTATACTTAGAGTCATGCCATAACCTTCACAGGTGCACATACTGACACTAAATTCGATTTTTAGCAGTAATGTATTTGTGTTATACCTTAACTACGATACGAACTTCGTCAGAAATTTCGTTTACTCTGCTGAAAGACTATTAAATGTTTTCCTGAAATTGACCGACAACTGAAGACCAATTCCGTATCTGCTGATTACACCTGAGGGGTGTTTTCATGAAGGTTGCTTTAGAAACTGATTTTTTTGTAAACTTCAGTCTTTACCATCCCCAAGGTACTCATTTAGGTTTGGGGAAATGATACTTAAGCATGCCTTCCATCAGAGAGAAAAGAAGCTGGGCTTTGTGGACAAATTCTATTAAATTTTTCTAAACTTGATAACTTACTAGAAATATATTATTTTGGTAATAAATATGAATAAAGGAGTTTCACGTTATCACCGTTTTGTACAGCAAAATCTTCATCTACCACTTAACTTAAAAGACGGGATTTCTGCAAAAAAATCTTTATGCTGCCGAAATTACTGCCAGCATATGATAATTGGTAATGAATTCAAGCCTTGTGTACAACTAAACTTAAAATTCTTTCCATTCTGCATCATTCATCTTTTCATTCTACGACGGCTGCGTTACTTATTGTTCCTGAGTTGACCACATGTTCTGTCACTGAACTTTATACACGTTTTTGGCCCCCTTCTTCTAGCCAGACTGGGTAGTTTTCGTGAGTGCGTTTTTCAAGTTGGCGCATGGTACGGCAGACATATTTTGTACGTTAGATATGTAATAGTGACTGCTTCGTAAACCGTCTCCTAGTGGCTCAGCACGAATAGTCGTTGGATGTACCTATCTGCTTGCAGTGTTCATCCAGAGCGAAATAAACCCAAACATTTCCAATTAGAATTATATTGACGACTGAATGTAAAATAGCTTTAGCGCTAACGTTCTATTAAACGAAGAGTATCACATAAACATGGCGCAAACCTTCATATATGAGGTCGTCCAGCGTTCAACCTTCAGTAATACAATAGATAAACTCAAAATTGTCTCTGTTAACAAATTGTGGGTTCAGTCAAAAAATTTACAGCAGTCCAGTGAAACACAGGCGGCCTAATTAACACAGAATACAAAATGTCATGTAGGATACAACTTCGGCATTTAAAGTCGGAAATATTTGACTCAACAAACGTGGAATAACTATGATAAGAACTCAAGGCATTTGTGAGGAGTACATGTGAAACAAACACATTAAAAACGGATTGATCCCCGTCCAAAATGAATGTAGGCAACAGAATATCCTCTGAATGCCATATCTGTCTATGCATATTTCATACTTGCTAAGCTTTCAGAATGAAGGCAAGATGACTACTCACGTGGATTTTGGAACACAATTTTCAGATGAAGTACCATGAGATGAATAAAACTGTTTTCAAATTAGTATCTGTGAATTATATGGACATGTAAGCTGTATGCATTATTTTATTACTGATCTCACAGCTTCCACTACTATTTAGATCATACTAACTCAACAGCGTATATTGGAGTTTTCCTTTCTAGTGAAGGTCGGAATCTACGTAGTGTCCACGCACACTAAGGACCACTTTGTTTTCGCTTCACAGACACATGTTTCCTGTATTCTCGTTTGTAGGTCTTCCTGAATGCAAGCTGAAATTCACTTGACAATTCTGACTTCAAGAATTCTGAAAGTGTCACTCGTATGGACCCAACATTTCATGCCAGTGTAGGGAATCAAAGAAGTTAATCAAGTGATTCGAACCTCAGCAGTCTCACCGTCCGTATGAACTGAAACAATGGTTGGCGGAATGGATTCCGCTTATTTCGTTCATTCATCGTTGATAGATACACCTTCGAGCAGCCGTAAGAGTCATATTCTCCCTAACTGAGGCGTTAGGAAGAACTGGCCGCCAGGTTTTATGGGCCAGGCTACTTAATCAGAAGGTATTGTAGCCAAAGCTCAGGTCTAGAAGGATGGATTGCAACACAGCAATCATCGGCGTTACTCCTAGTTGGAGCCCTCAGACAGCCAGCCCAGGTTTGATCAGGCAGCCTAACTAACTGGTTTCCTATACAACCAAAGTTCTGTACTACATTACTTCTTGAACACTCTTTATGCTGCGGTTTTAGTTTTGGTACTTTTATTTGCAAGTTCCTGTCTTGCGTTGAGAAATATCCTTTTAAATTTTGAACAAAACCGTAGAATTAATCATTTCCACTTCTCTTCTTATATGCTCATGGGAAACTTTCATGTCATAAGAAGAAGTATGTCGATTCTCTGTTATTCTAGATAGTGTGGAAGCAAGTATTCTTCAGGATGAAACAAGCTGGTGATGACTAAGGCGCGCACTCTCCTAAGTTACGCACCTGTAGACTGCAGAATGCAAATTACACTCTGTGCAATGAAAGCTTGTCCTGCACAACGTCGGAACGTGACTTAGGTCTAGTTCTAATGGAGAAAATGGACACAAGCGTAAATTACACGGGGGATGTAGCGAGGGCATATGCACATAGACAGTTAGGTGCACTCACTCCTGAGCTCTTCCTAAGGTTGTATAAAGCATACGTCAGACCGCACCTTGAAGTGCATAATATTATTGCACCCCCACTGCTTAGAAGAGACGCCAATCTCTTGGAAAGAGTCCAACGACGGGCAACAAAAGGAGTGGTTGGTCTCCGAAATAAACCATATGATGAAAGGTTGAAGAAATTAGGCCTATTCACACTTAGTTACCGTC